CGGAGGCTCTCGGTGGTGCTCGCGGGGAGGAGGCAGCGGGGGGGACCCGGGCCCCGGGCCCCGGCCGAGGTGGGTGCGGAACCCCGGGGGCGCCCGACCCCGGCCCGGGATGCGCCGCAGCTCCGCGGGACCGCTTCGTTCAGGGAAAACCTGCGGGAGTTACATCGAAAAGAGACACGGCCCGTCCTCAAACTGCCCCCCCGGGGGAGAAATCAGATAGAAACCCCCCCGTCCCCACTCCCCGCCGCCGCCGCGACCCCTCCGCTGCCTCCCGCTGAGTTTCGAGGCCGCCCAAAGTTTCCGGGTAAACGAGAAAAGTCTCCGGAAAGACCGTGGAGGGGTCGGTTCAGCCTCTCGCCCTCCCTCCCGACCCCTCCGCATCGCTTCCCCCCCGTGCTGCCCCTTTCCCCCCCTCCCAGCGCGGCCCAAGCCCGACCCACCTGCACCGGGGCAAGGCGGGCGGCGGAGCCGGCCGCGGGAGGGGGCAGGTCCCGGCCGGAACCCCGCTCTGATCCTGTCCCTAAACACCTCCCGGGCCGAATCTGCGGAGAGAATGAAAATTTTCACGCGGGTAGGGCATTAAAAAAATTATATCCCGCCAAAGGGAAAGGGAACGAAGTCGGGAGGGGTGGGGAAAGGGCCTGATCTTGCGGCTAAAACTGTCTTAAAATTGGAAAAAAAAAAAATAAAAAGCCTGCGAGGGCGCAGATCTCGATGATCGGCCGAGGGGAGCCGGGATTTTAAGGAGAAGAAGCTGTCGGTTTGGAAAGGGCCGGAGTTTTTTCCTGGCTGGATTCCTTCCCGGGGCGCAACAAACCACAGTGCAACGCGACTGGGCGCCGCCGAGAGAGTGGGGAAGGGAAAATCGCACCCGAACAGGCGGAACAGGGAGGGAAAGGGGCAGAAACGCGGGGCTGCCCCAGCCCGCGGCCGGCCCGGGGGGAGCCGAGCCCCGCGGAGGGGGCGCGGTCGGGACGGCGGGGCCGGGGGGCTGCGGTCCCGGCGCTGCGCCCCCCGAGCGGCTCTCTCCATATCCCGCTTTAATGACCCCAAATCCAGGCGGAACTTTTCCGGCGTGGCTGGGTTTTTTTCCTGCTTTGTTTTGTTTTGGAAGCGAAAGCGTTTGAATCCCCTTCAAGAACCGGTATCAAAGACTCTTTTTTTAAAAGCTATTGATTGCAAAAGTCTTATTTAAACCAACACATTTTAGTTTCTCACATTTTAAAACATCATCTGGGGCCCATTGTATGGAAAATCGATTAGCAGGAATTGCCACGCTCTTTGCCTCCCGCTTGATTGTTGGAAAATCGAGACATCCATAGGCAAAGGCTGGGCTGGGGATGGTTTGGAACCGAAATGAAAGGGTTTGCGAGGGATCTATAGGCACTAAATAATTCACCTGCCAGGCGATGGTGCTGTTATTTTGAAGCCTTAAAGAACTTTAAGGAACTTTTTGCTCCCGGCGGGGTGCGCGGAGCCGCGTTCCGGCTCTTTTTCTTTCCTTGCCCGGTAAAACCCGACGGTTTGGCCGGTGCCCGGTGCGGCCCCTCCGCTGGGGCTGGTCCTGGCCGGGGCGTTTGTGCCTTCGCGCTGTTCCTAAGTGCAACGGGGAAAAAAAAAAATAAAAATGAAACAGATTTGAGCTCAAAACAGCCCTCGAGCTGCTCAGCAGCACCGGCGGGCAGGGTAGCGGCAGCAAGGCTCGATACCTCCCCCGGCTCTGGGGCTGCGCACCCCCCGTCTCCCCTCCGGAGCCCCGGGGGCAGCGGGGCACGGGCGGGGACGCCGAGAGCAGCTCTGGGAAGATGAGGGGGTTGGGGAGGGGGATCTGCTCCTCGCCTCGCTCCGTGGTCGCTGCGAGGATGTGGCGGGGGTGTGGGGGGCGGAGGCTGCCCCGGATCCCCGCTCCCCCTCCGCACTTACCGCTCTGCACCCCTGGGTGCCCGCACTGCCCGGCTCCTCTCGGAGCGCTGCCCGGGCGGCTGCGGAGGAGCAGAGGGAAGGGAATTAAATAGGGAGAGGGAGCTCAGGAAGAAAGAGGTGGCGAGGGAAGGGATCAATAGCATCCAGCTGGCGAATGGAGCCGGGGCCTCTCCCCCGCGCTGGGTCCCGGCCCATCGCCAGAGACTCCGGAGCTCCGAGGGGCTTCCCCCGGGCCGGGGCCGCCGCGCAGGCAGCGAACCCCGCAGCTCTCACGGACCGCAGCGGCTCGGCCCGGGGCCGGACCCCGCACGGCGGCCCGGGCGGCTCCCGCCGCCTCCCCGCGCCCCGGCCCCGCGTGTCTCGGTGCCTCTCGCCCTAATGATATTGCATCGATCGGGGAAGGGCCGGGGGGGGCAGGAGGGGGGCGCGGGGCTACCGCATTACTCAATTATGTTGCACTAATTACTAAAAAGTCTCTCTCTTTTTTGCTGTTTGCTCGGTGTGAAGCTCGGCGGAGGGCAGAGCCAGCGCCCGTCCCGGGGGGCTCCCGGTGCTGCGGGCCCGGCGGTGCCGGGGATGGGGGGAGCATCAGGAGCCTGGCACGGGGCCGCGGTGCGGGACGGCAGCTGCAGGGATAGATCTATCGATGGGCGGTCGATGCGCTATCGCCATTATTACACTCAATGAAACCCTTCCAGACGCAGTTGCTTCATCCCTGATTTGTTCCCCACCTCCTCCTCGCAGCTCACCTCGGCACCCCCGCTCAGCACCTTCTGGTGCTGTCCGGTTCCAGGCCCCCTGCTCATCTCTGCCCAGCTCCGAGCCTTCCCTTGCCCATCCCTGCCTGGCTCCCAGCCTTTCCCTGCCCATCCCTGCCCAGCTCCGCGCTCTCCCCTCCCATCCCTGTCCTGCTCCAGGCCCCCTGCCCGCCCCTGCCCGGCTCCAGGCCTCCCTGCCCACCCCTGTCCGGCTCTGGGGCTCCCTGCTCTCCCCTGGCACCTCGACTTCCGCCCCCCTCGCTTATCTCAGACCGCCCAGTCCATCCCTGCCCGGCTCCGGGTCCCGTTACCTGTCTGAAAGCTCCCCCTCCCAGCAGAATATCGGGCACTTCGCATCCCCAGCAGAGCCCCCGGAACGCGGTTCTCTCCTTTTCGGGGGTCCCGCGGGCCGTCCTGGCAGGAATGAACCGGGGGGGAGGCCAAAGGAGGGGCCGAGGTCGCTCTATATCCCTTCCATATCCCTGCTCCAGGGCTGGATCGCGGTGTCAGGGGCAGAAAAGGGGAGACCCCCCACCCCCAACCTGTCCATCACCTGTCCTTGCCCTGACGTCCCGGGATTTTGCAGGGCTTTATTTTAATGAACTGGGCACTTAATTGACTTCCCGGGAAGGGTGTCAGATGGGATAGAAAACTGTGGGATGGATGGGATGGGATGGGATGGGATGGGATGGGATGGGATGGGATGGGATGTGTTAAAAGCACTGAATTTGAAAGGAATGTGAAATTTGGCTGAATTACTCCCTGGGTAGGCGGGGGCCGAGTGGGGGACCACGAACACCCCCGGAAGGGCCGGACCCTGCTGTCCCGCACCGCAGCTCCCAGGTCCCCCCGGACGTCCCTCGGCTGTGGAAGTGCCTGGAGCCCGACAGTGGCTGAGAACTGAGCAGCCCACGCGGGGCTGGCGGGCCCCACCCGCAGGAAGCTATGGATTTTATTTTCGTTTTTTTGGTCTGTTCAATAAAGCTTGGGAAACCGGCATGTGCCGACCTGGATCAGCGGACGCGGCCGAGAAAGGCCAGAATTGCCCGGAGAGCCCAGCTCGGGATAACGGGGCCGGGGGCAACTGAAAACGTGCCTGGAAGGCCACGGAGCACCAGCCCCTCCGGTGGTCTAGAACCAGCTCACGCTGGCTCTTCACCCAGTCTTCCTCACCCTCCTTTCCTTTGCCTTTCCATTTCCCTTTTTCCTTTCAGTTTTCTCTTTCCATTCTCCATTTTCCATTTCATTTTCCATTTTCCCTTTGTGCTTTCCATTTTCCATTTCAATTTATTTTTTGCCTTTCCCTCCTTCCTTCCTTTTTTTCCCTCCTCCTGTTCAGCGCCCTGCAGCACCGTGTGTCGCCCCAAGCGTGTCCCTGTCACCTCCCCTCCCCGTGCCAAGGCGACCTCACCATTCCCGAGGGGTAGGGGAAAGGCGGTGATGGGGGAACAGGCGTGGGGAAACACGGGGATGCGGGGACAGGATATTTGGGGTAGACACGGACAACCAGGCCCTCGGGAGGGGCACGGGGTGGAGAACGGGGCAGGGAAGCGGGAGGTTGGGGACGCTGGGGACAGGCACATCCAGGGGTGGCTGGCACAGAGACCGGCCTGGGCTCAGCCAGATGTGAGGGGGCGCAGGTGGGCACTCGCCACCTGCAGCGCTGCCGGACGCGCGCTGGGTACCGGGTGCGGCCGGGAGGGCGTGACAGGCGGTCCGGGGAGGGTCACCCCGGTGACAGGGGTCACCCCGGAGCGGCGGTGTCACCGCGGCGCGGGGGGAAGGTGACCCCGGCGGGGGTCCGGGTAAGGGCGCGGCCCCGCGCTCCCCGCGCCCGTCCCGCCCCCGGCGGCGGCGGCACCGGGAGAGGTGCTGGGGGCGGGGGGGGGGGGGGGGGTGTGGCACGGGGGGGGGGGGGGGGGGGGGGGGGCGGCGCGGTCCGGCGGGGGGCGGGGCGGGGCGGCGCTGACGTCACGCCGCGGGCCAGAGCGAGGCTGCCGGGAGCCGGGAGCCGGCGGCCGAGGCTCCGCAGCCGCCCCGCACCGAGCCCCGCGCCCCGCGCACAGCCCCGCGCCAGCCCCGAGCCCCGCGCCGAGCAGGGCGGGCGGCGGGCGCACCATGCCGGCCTGACCGCGGGGCGCGGACATCGATCCCCGGGCGCGGAGTCTGAATTAATCCGGGCAGCCGGCGCGGGAAGGGGGGGCGGCGGTGGAGGAGGAGGAGGAGGAGGAGGAGGAGGCGGCGGCGGCGGCGGCGGGGGGGTGGGGGAGGAAGGCAGCGAGAGAGCGGGCGAGGCAGCGGCAGAGCCCGGCGGCCACCATGGAGCTGGCGATGGAGAACCTGGGCAGCCTGCACGGCGTCCCGCACTCGCAGCCCGCCGAGCTGCTGAGCCCCGCGCACGGGCGGCAGAGCTCGCACCGCAACCTGGTGCCGCACGGCCGGCCCGCCATGGTCTCGGGCATGGCCTCCATCCTGGAGGGGGGCGACTACCGCGGCGAGCACAGCCTGGGAGCCCCGCTGCACCCCGCCATGAGCATGTCCTGCGAGTCGCCCTCCGGCATGAGCCTGAGCAGCACCTACACCACGCTGACTCCCCTGCAGCACCTGCCGCCCATCTCCACCGTCTCGGAGAAGTTCCACCACCCGCACCACCACCACCACCACCACCACCCACACCAGCGCCTGGCCGGTAACGTCAGCGGCAGCTTCACCCTCATGCGCGACGAGCGGAGCTTGGCCTCCATGGGCAACCTCTACAGCCACTACCCCAAGGACATGCCGGCCATGGGGCAGCCCCTATCGCCGCTGCCCAACGGGCTGGGCAGCCTCCACAACGCCCAGCAGCCGCTGGCCCCCTACGGCCCCGCCGGCCACTTGCCCAACGAGAAGATGCTCTCGCCCAACGGCTTCGACTCGCACGCCGCGATGCTGTCCCGGGGCGAGGAGCACCTGGCGCGGGGGCTGGCGGCGCCCAGCTCGGCCATGATGCCGCCGCTCAACGGGATGCACCCGCACGGGCACCCGCACGGCCAGCCCGGAGCCTCGCTGCTGGGCGAGCGGGAGCGCCCCGCGCCCGGCCCCGGCTCCCAGCCCGGCGGCTCCGGGCAGGTGGAGGAGATCAACACCAAGGAGGTGGCTCAGCGGATCACGGCCGAGCTGAAGCGGTACAGCATCCCGCAGGCCATCTTCGCGCAGAGGATCTTGTGCCGCTCCCAGGGGACCCTCTCGGACCTGCTGCGGAACCCCAAGCCCTGGAGTAAGCTCAAGTCCGGCCGGGAGACTTTCCGCAGGATGTGGAAATGGTTGCAGGAGCCGGAATTTCAGAGGATGTCGGCGCTCAGACTGGCAGGTAGGACACGGCACGGCTCGGGCTGCTCGCCCCGCACCTCCGGGCGAGTGGGTCAGGGGGTACTGCGAACACGCGTGGGAACCCTCGACGGTTCCGGAGTTGCCATAGCGAACTGGGGCCGGGCTCGGGCGGTGTTACCGACCCAGTTTGTAACCTTAAGACCAAAGGGAAGGGATTTATATTTAAGGTGAGTTATACCTAAGGCGACCTCCCAGGGCCTGCTGCTGCCCGCGAGAGATGCGGGATCGCGGGTGGAGGAAACCGAGAGGTGCCCGTTCACCACCGCCCGCCCGCCTGCCTCGGGGATTTCCCTGTCGGTGCCGCCGAACTGGCCCCGTGACGCCGGCAGTGTCCTGGAACTCCTCCACGGACGGTTCAGCCGCCGCCTCTCGGTACCGGGGCCGCGCTCAGGGGAATCTCTGGGCCACCCCGCCGGGGCCGCGCTCCGTCCCTCCAGGCACCGGCTGCCTCGGCAGAAGGAGCGAGCCCCTCCTGCCCCGTGGCTCCGGTTCCCAGTTGGATTGAGGTCCCGCAGCGCCGTTCCCCGCGGTCTCGGGCCGAGGATTTGCTGGAGAAACGCGGGATTTCTGTGCCGAGGGCGGGCGGGGGTCGCGGGGGAAAGGGCCGGAGGGTGGGACAGAGGGGACAGCGGCCAGCGGGGACCTGCCCAGTGCTCCCCGCCAGCCCCGACACGGAGCCGCTCCCCCCGGAAACGACCGGAGCTCTTGGCTCCGCGGGGCCGAGTCGTGACGGACAAAACACACGTCAGTTATTTTTAATTTATTTTTTAAGAAATTCGAGCTCCCCGTGGGGACCGGCAAAGCCAGCGACGAGGACCCGCCGTTATTTATGGGGAAGAGCAGCGTTCATATGTATTTAGTGTAATTCAGTTGCTCTTTAATTAGGGCAGGGTAGTGGCATCTTTTAGTTCCAGTCGATGCCCTATTGAAAAGCAGTTAATAGAATGCAAATTGTTCCTGGCTTTACAAGGTTCTGGTAAATAAAGATTTAAACACTACTGCGATCGGCCGTTTAATGCCCCCGTTGTTGGGGCTAATTGAGCAGCGAGCTTGGGCTTCTGCCTCGGCAGAATTGGAAATAATAATGAATAATTCAAAAATAATAATAGTAATAGTAATTTAAAATAACCGTGATGGTGATGATAAAAAGGCCGCCGCAGCTGGGGGAAGCTCAGGGAGAACCCTGCCACCCTAGAGAGGTCCTTGTCCCGGCCCGGCTCAGGGATCTCTGTCCCCGAACCTGCTCGGAGGGTCCCTGTCCGTGCTGTCACCTCTTTGCTCCTCGCGCCGCCGTGGGAGGTTTGTTCTCCCCAAAATGATTTTCCTTCCCTGGCGCCGTTTCCCTCGGCGCCAGGGCCGCCATGTCCCCATTATTTACAGGAATTAACCCCCCAGATTTCCGGGGAACGGGATTTGTTCATTTGCTGTCTGTGAAACAGGAAAAAAGGCACCAACCACCAGCCCAACCTCCCGTCATGAACCCGCCCGTGTTGCGCCTCGCTCCCCACGCGGGTCCGGGCCGCCCCACGCGGCTCGTGGAGGGGCTCGGCCGAGCTGCCCCTCCGCTCCTGCCGCTTTGTTCCTGCCCCGAGCCCCGCTGGTTCCCGCTTTCGTTTCGCTCCCGCCGCCCTCTCGCCCGCCCGGGCCCGGCCCTGGGGGTCCCCCCCAGCCCCTCGGGCTCAGCCCCGGCCCGGCTGCCCCGAGCTGCGGCATCGGGGGGAAGGGGTCGTGCTGGGGGGGGCCGGGCCCGAGCCCCCCGATCGATGCAGGTGAAGCCGCAGCCCGGCCCGGCCCGAGGCCTCGGGTTGAATCCGCTCGTTCTTTCCGGCTGCGCCGGGCTGGGGGCCTGGAGGGGTCCGAATGATTGCAACCTTCGCCCCCCGGCAAGTAGGGAGGGGACCTGGGCAGAGGGCGGAATTTTTCCTTCCCGGTAAAAGGAAATTAAAAAAATGTTCGGCATGTGGCACGACCGGGGCAAGGACTGGTGCTGGTTCTTATCCTATTCCTGCTTCTGTCGTGGTTCTATTCCTATTTCTCTTTCTGGTCCTATTCCTTCTGCTGGTCCTATTCCTTCCTCCTGGTTCTATTCCTATTCCGATTCCTGGTCCTGGTCTTGGTCCTGGTTCTGACCCCGGTCCTGTTCTTATTCATATTCTTGTTTGATTGTTTGTTTATTTTGTTCCTATTTTTGATCCTAGTCCTGGTCCCGGTCCCGGTCCGGGGCCGCCCGGCCGCAGGAGTCCATCTGATGGATTAGTCCGACTCAGTGAGTCGCGGATCGATGACCAAGCCGGGCCCCTAGAAATGGCACCCGCTGCTTTTCTCCTCTTTCCACCCCAGTTCCCCCCGTCCCGCCGCCCCCTCCGCAGATGAACCATTAATTATTCAGCTGGGAGATGAGGGGGCTGCAGCTCCGGCCGCCCCGGGCTCCCTCCGGCCCCGCTTGACCCAAGGGGCTCCGCAAAGAGGAGGGGTCCCACGGAGAAACATCTGGGCAGCATCTGGCGGTGCCCAGCCGGTCCCCTCGGGCCGTTCGTGTCCCCAGGCCGCTGCTGCAGACCCCGGGCCAGCTCCAGATTCATCTCCTCAAACTCCGCGACCGCCCCACGAGGCCTGCGAGGCCCGTGGGTGGCGGAGAGATCCCACGGTGGCACTTTTGGGAGTCCCTGCACGGGTCTGACCCCGCCCGCTAAACCCCGGTCCCTCGAGCCCTGGGGGCGGAAAAGGCATCGGCTTCATCCCCGAGGGATGATGTGGGAGCTGGGGGAGTTCCTGCGCTTCCCCCCCGCGTGTCCGCGGAGGGCAGTGGGTGCCTTCCCACCCTGCGCATCCCTCGCGTGGCTCTGGGTGCTCTCCCATCCCGCCGGTGCGAGCCCCCCTCTCCACCGCGGATTTATCCCCACACTCAGGGCCAGGAAATTCCCTCGTGATTATTTCTCGGGAGGGCGACAACCCCGTTGTGTCCCTTTTGCGACACGGCGCTCCCCGCTCGCCTTCTTCCTTCGTGCCTGACTCGAAGGGGCGCTCGGGGGTTCCCTCCTCCCGTGGTTTTCCCCGGCTCTGCGTGGAATTCACCCCGCGGGTGGGGTGCGGCTGGCCCGGAGGGGCCGTGGGCCTGGGCAGCCCTCGGAGCCGGGCAATTCCTCCTGCTTTTTCATTCCTTCTCCAACCTTTCGTTTTATTTTTCCATTCGCACTTCCACCTCTTACACCTCAGGCCGGTTTTTTCGTTCTCAGTTTTAATTTTTTTGTTTTAACTTGGTTTTGTTCGTTTTGTTTGGTTTTCTTCTTTCTCTTTCTTTTTTTCTTTCTTCGTTTATTTTCTCTCTTTTCTTTCTAATAATTTCCTTTTTTATTTCTTCGTTTCTTTTCTTTCTCTCTCTCTCTCTCTTTCTCCCTCACTCTTTTTCTCCTTCCTTCCTGTTTTCCTTTCTTTTCCTTCCTTTCTTTTCTTCTACTTTCTTTTCCTCTCTTTCTTTTCCTTCCTCTTTCTTCCTTTATTCTTTTCTTTTCTTTTCTTCTTTTCTTTTCTTCTTTTCCTTCCTTTCTTTCTTTTCCTTTCTTTTTTAATTCTTCCTCTCCTCCTATGAATCCCTTCCCCGAACGTGTCTCCGCCGCAGCACGAAGCGTTGTTATTCAACACAAACCCCCAAACCACCCTGAAACTGCGAGCCCGACAGCGGGGCTGGGCCAAGGCAAATGCCCAAGAGCTCTGACAACACCAATAATTAATGTCACTAATTAATACCGAAAATTAATACACAGACGTGGTAGAAAAAGAGACAAGATGGCGCTGAATAAAACCTCGGGAAATACATATATATTATTTAATTTTTTTCTTCACGAGTTTTGTTTTAATTTCAGCCTCTTTCAAACGACTTTGGCCCAACGACGGCTCCTCCCGGCCCGCGGCCACCGAGCACCGGGGCGGCTCCGGGAGACCCCGGCCCCGGGCCCGACCCCGGCCCGGGAGAGCGGCGGAAAAGAGCGGACGGTTCCGCTGCTTTCGATCCGCGCGTGGCCGCAGGTGATGGGAAAAGGCGCCGCAACCGCGGGAAGTTTTGGAGGACAGGGAGCGAATGGGTTTTGTCGCTGTAAAATGGACGAAAATGAGACTTTGGGGTCTCGGCTCCCAGCGGCTCCTCCCGGCCAGGGAGAGCTGCACACCTAGGGAATCGGAGAAAGATTCGGGAAAGGAGGTAAAGCTTTGTCCCCTTGAGAAAAAAGAAAAGAAAAGAAAAGAAACCTAAAAAACCAAACAAAACACAAACCCAAAATAGTAAGGGGGGATTTTGTTTTTGTTTTGGGTTGTATTTTTTGAACTTATATTTCTTAATTTTTTTTTCTTAAATTACAATTTTATCGTGCTAATTATCTTTTTTTTAGCTCATAAGTAGAGCTGGAACGAGATGAGCTTTAAGGTCCGTTCCGATCCAAACCCTTCTGGGATTCCGTGAATTAGACGCGACTTTCTCCTCCCGCACGGAGCAGCCACCGCCGGCGTCCCCGGCTGCGCTCCTGTCCCTGCGCCGTGTCCCGCAGCTCCTGGTGTCGCTCAGTGCCTGAGCCCCTCGTCCCGCACCTCCCCGCGCCCCGCACCGCGCCCCGCACCGCGCCCCGCACCGCGCCGCCTCCTTATCAGCGCGCCGGGGCCGCCTCGCTCCGCCCGCCGCTGTTTTTCTGTTTGCTCCTAATCTGCGCGTCAGAAGGGGCCAATAAACCTCCCGCGGGTTAAACATTAAATGGGGTTCCTTCCCCCCACCCCCAGGAAACAGCCTCCCCTCTCCTCGGGGTGCCGCCTGCCCCCCACCCGCGGCTCTGGGGTTCTGCTCCCCCGAACGCTGCTCCCCAAATTCCCTCACGGGCTCTGCACATCGCCCCAGCCCCGGGGGCCACACCTGGGGCCTTTCTTGCTGCCTCCTTTTATTTCGGGTTCACATTTTGGGTGGGTTTTTGTTGGGTTTATCTTCTTCTGGGTGTA